AAGGGGGGTGTTGCATATTTGGACATAGTTATCTTCAATTTTTTTCGTTAATCTAAGGAAAAAGAATGCATTTGTATAAGCCTAGTTGTTTCGGAAAGGTTCGAAAACATGTGTTAGTTTCAAAAATAAAAACATAAAAAAAACTTCAGTTTAATCATAGATAACGACACTATAATGACATGAGATAATAATAGCATATACTTCCTATTTCTTACTAAATTTGTAGATATATCAATACAACATGTACCACTTTAAGTCAAATGTTACCTTTTGTTTTAATTAACGACATATAATACCAGGTATATAATATAAGTTCATTCTTTTAATTAGTTGGGAGAATTAAAAAAATGTATAAAGGAATTGACCTACTTTTATTTCTCAATATACATATAAAGGTAGATCATATGATAAAGATGGATAGGAAAAGAAATAAGAATAAATATGTGTTATTGAATCCAAGATATCAATTATCAAATTAAATTTTTAAATATGATAGTCAAACATGCAATGACAATTTCGTAAATAAGTGTACATTTCATGGTCAAACATATACATTTGACCACTCGATAGGGATAAAACAGATATTACTCATTCACCCTTGGGACCCACCACCAACCCACTAACTCTCTCTCACACACTTATACCTAAAACACCCACTACAAACACTATCATCACACACTTAAAACATACACACATACACACGCAATACACACGTGCGCCGGTCAGCCACAACACAGCCACTGCCCGCTGTCTACCTCCATTCGCCGCGCCTTCACCACCAGCCTCCACCCGAAGCTTTACGCCAGTCAGCCATAGCTCGCCGCCTTCGTCAAGTAAGAACGACGGGCTTACAAAAACGGTCATTGTCAACCTTCGGCCCAAGCTTCACGCTGGCAAGGGTGGTGCTGATTTGTGGCATGACCTCTCCACGGGATGCAACCGCATTCTCGCCACCGCGTCCCCCGTCGGACACCATGACCTCCGTCAAGAAACAATATACGGCGAAGGCACGTCTCTCCGTCATGTCTTCGAGAATGTCGTCGTAGAAAACGCCTGAAAACTAGGTCGATGTCATATGAAATAAAATTAAAAAGAAAAAAATACCATCCTGGTGGACGCGACAACGGAGATGACTATGGCTTGTGAGACGGTGGTTTGCGGCAGCAAAGATGACTTTGGATTGTGAGACGAACGGGATTTTCATATTATTATTTTAGGGGCTGCATTTTGTAAACTTGATAAGTCCCAAGAACTTGATTCTGATTTTAGAAATTTTAATATATTATAATTTAGCTCATGGGTAAATTTATAATTAATCAAACTATAATTAATATTTTAATATTTTTATTTAGTATTTGGTTGTAAATAAATAATATGTTACACAAAAAATATTAAAAACTAATAATGATATCTTTTATATAGTTTAACCGTCCGGTTATTTCGGTTAGGTAAATTGAAAAAACGACATTGAACCAAAATAACCGAGTTATAAAAGTTGAACTGAAAAATTTGGTTCGGTCGATTTCGTCCGATATTCTTCAATCTAATAGTGACTAATGTGCAATTCATACAACCTTAACGTGTACCGCTATACATAAAAAATCAAAACAATAATAATAATATTATTTTTATATTGTTAAGTCGGTTCCATTAGTTCGGTTATTTTAAAAAAATAAAACCGACATCAAACTGAAATAACCGTGATTTAATCAAACCAAAATAAAAAAATTTCGAACTGAGAATTTGAGTTCGTGGTTAGGCGAGTGTTATCTTCTGTGTGCATGCCGGCAGAGTTGAATGAGACCCTGATTGTACTTATCTCCAAGATGGAGTATCCGCAAACAATCAAGCAATACAGGGAACCCCCTTCGACGTTTCAGATCGTAATCAGAGATCAAAAATATTATATGGCATAATCTACTAGTGATCCCACAACTGCTTGCTTTCCTTGCCTACTCCCTCTTCGCAAATCTGCTAATCCTAATTCATGTCCCGCTCACCCGAGAAGGCAGAATACGGAAAGGAGCTTCGAAATCCTGTAAAGCTCATCAAGATAACGACTAAGATTCAGATAAAAAAAATTCGAACTGAGAATTTGAGTTCGGAAGATTTCTTTTTTTTTTTTTGTGCAATTTGATAGTCATAAATGTACAATTCAGTTAACACTATATGTTTAATGATTTTGATCCACAACAAACTAAAACCAATTTAAAATAATCGGTTTATTACTTGAAAAATAGATTTTATAAAATATAAAATAGAGGTGAAAGTGATAAAAATTAAAAATGAGAGTATTATTTAGATAATTTAAAGAACCGAACCGAAATGAAAATGAATTTATAGAACTAGAACTGAATTTATGTACAACCGAACCAAATTTAGAGTTGAGCACAAAAACTCAAAATTATCACTTGAAGATATTAGAATTGAGAGGGATAAAGTGAGAATAGTTGAATATGTTGTGAAAAAACAAATTTTTTTTGGGTGGGGGGAGTTTATAGATTTTTTTTGGATTTCTTCTGATTTTTTTTATTTTTATTTCTAAACCACCGGTTCCGAGTCGCCCCGATGGTTCAAATCAATCCTGGCCATTGGATCTCAAACAATTAGATTAAAAAATTTACCATCTGCAGTTTCAGGCGGGCCCGTTTGGACCCGGAACAAAATTTAATTAAAAAAGAAAGTGATCCCTAAAAGATTCAACAATCCAGATTTAATCTGACCAACGGGTCGTCAATGGTCATCTATGGTTCCAGACCAGCCAGGCCTGACCCAAAAAAAAAAAAAAAAAAGTATGTGAATTGTCGGCCTCCCATGCTGACACTAAACCGAAACCGGCAGTTCACGAATTTATTAATTTGTGAACCTAAACCGGCCTGGCAAAACCACGAGTCCAATTCTAGGGCTCTCGGTCAATGGCTTGACCGGGCCTCGTTTGGTCCACACCGGCCCATGGTCATGTCTAAGTTGAATACAAAAAGCAAAAAAAATACACACACAATAGTGTAAAATCAGAGGACATGACCTATGACCTATGTCCTAAGACAGTTACATCACCCGCCAT